TCTTAGAGCATACCAGATCCTACCAAAGATTCTATGCTTGGTGTCCAGGGAGCTTACTCTCAACTGTTGTCATTATGTGTATTCCTAAGGATTTTTCCCTATTCTGTGTATGCATGCTCTACTCTCCTTTCCAGAACTGTGAGACAGGGTTAATATTCTAAGTGTTGTTTCATCATATGTACATAACTATCTCTCTTGAGCCAGAAAAATTCCAAAGATTGGGAGTTGTAGTTAGTAATTCCAGATAAGAGATTTGAGAAACATTAACCCCCTGTTGAATCTTAGGGGAAAATATTTGAGGAAGAGCAGAATTTCCAGGGAAAATTACAGCTATTGCATGTATGACTGACATAGTAAAACTAAAAATAATCTCCAAATCACCAATATAATGAGAGAGAAATGAGCCTGCAAGCTGCATAAATTTTGCAAATTACTATGCTGTCCCATGGACTACTGATCCTTGCCAAGTGAGAGTCTGTTTCTACGGGTGCCTTGCCCTGAGGAAACCCGTTGGACAGATAGTCATGTCCTGATCCAAGACTAGGCTGCACAGCTCCCACCAATATTTGAATTTATTCTTTGAGAATGTCACACAATATATTTTGATCATATTCTTTTTCTTCTCCTAAATGCTAGATCTTCCCAATCCACCAAACTCATGTTCTTTCTCTCTCTTAAAAAAAAGTAACAGCATCTGGGTATGCTGGTGCACACATTAATCCCAGCACTAGGGAGGCAGAGGCAGGTGGACCCTTGTGAGTTCTAGGCCAGCTTGGCCTCCAAAGTGAACTCCAGGACAGCTAGGGCTGTTACACAGAGAAACTCTGTCTTGAAAAACAAGCAAACAAGCAAGCAAACAAATAAACCAAACCAAAATAAAAGTAACAACTAAAAATAAAACTACCACTCTTATAGAAATGCCCAATGGACTCTATATTTTATCATGAATACTTGTTTATCAATGTGCAGTGCTGCTCTATTCATAATTGTCAAAATAGAAAAGAACCTAGATGTCCACCATCTAATGAATGGCTATTGAAAATACATATATTTACACAATGGAATATTATTCATCTGCCTCAAAAATGATATATCTTGGAATAACTCTAACTAAGCAAGTAAAAGACTTGTATGATAAAAACCTTTAAGATATTAAAGATATCAGAAGACAGATAAAACTCCCATGCTTGTAGATCAATAGGATTAATTAATATAGTAAAACAGACATCCTACCAAAAGCAATCTATGATTCAATGTAATCTCCTCTCAAAATTCCAACACAATTCTTTACATATCTTGAAATGACAATTTTCAGCTTTATATGGAAACATAAAAAGCCCAGGATCACTAAAATAATTCTCAATAATAAAAGAAGTACTGGGTGTCATAATCCCTGATTTCAATTTATACTATAGGACTATAGTAATAAAATTAGCAGAGTATTGGTGTTAAAAACAGACACATTGATCAATGGAATCAAATTGAAGATCCAGACATAAATCTACACACAAATGGACATTTGATTTTTAGAAAGAAGCCAGAACTACACACTGGAAAAAAGTCAGCATCTTCAACAAATGGTGCTGGTCAAACTGCATGGTTGCATTTAGAAGAATCCAAATAGATACATACTCATCACCCTGCACAAAGCTGAACTCCAAAATGGATCAAAGACCCTAAAATGAGACCTGACACAATGGATTTGATAGAAGAGACAGTGTGGAATAGTTCAACAGTGAACTTATTGGCGAAGGAAAAGATTTTCTGAACAGAACACCATTTATACAGCCACTTCGATCACCAGTTCATTAATTGGATCTCATGAAGTCAAAAAGATGCTGCATGGTAAAGGGCACTGTCATTCAGACAGAATGGCAGGCTACAGAATGGGAAAAGATTGTTATTACCATCTATGCATCTAATACCAGAGGGCTAATATACAAAATATATGAAGAATGTAAAAAAAATTGGGCATCAAAAATAATAATCCCATTAAAAATTTTGGTATAGATCTGAACAGAGAATTCTCAAAAATTGAAATTCAAATGGCTAAGGAGCACTTAAAGAAATGCTTATTATCCTTAGTCATCAGGGAAATAAAAATCAAAACTACTTTGATATTTCATCTTACACCCACCAGAGTGACCAAAATCAATAAAACTAATGACAGCGTATGCTGGCAAGGATGCGGGATAAGGTGAATTCTCATCCATTGCTGGTGGGAGTACATACTGCCACTATGTAAATCTGTGTGGTGGTTCCTTATGTCCTGTCTGCAAAACATGCCAGTGCAATGGTGGCACAAGGCTTGTTGGAGTAACCAACCAACATCTGATTTAACTTAAGGCCCACTCCATGAGATGCAATTAATACACAGAATTGCCTTGGCAGACTAAGAACCGGAGATTAGATGTCAGGACCTGCTGACCTATCAAACAGTACCTGAATAGAGAATGAGGATTAAGAAAAAAACAGACAAGGGACAGAAGATAGAATCAGGAGGGCTCTCAGTAAATACTGAAGCAGCCCGGAATTTATTTCTCATAGCCTTTTTATATCCAAAGCAAGGGGGGCAAAAGATTTCCTTACCATGCATGGTTTAAGGAACAAACAAGTGTAAACACCTCCTTAATTCTCAAAACATCTAGTACCCACACCTTTGGCCAATCATCTTGTTATTTAGCTTAAGGAACAAAAATAAGCTTGAACTTTCTGACCTTAAGTTAAGATGGAATCAAGCCATGAGTTGAAGTCACTGTGGGCTCCCACAATTAGACAGCCAGGACACAGGGTAAAACCAAATACTGTTCTATAAAAGGAAGATAGCAATAAAATGATTTAATGATTCTGCTATAATCACAGACCAGTGATTAGCCCAGTCATCATCGGAGAAGCTTCTCCCTGCAGCAGATGGGAAAAAATGTAGAGTCCCACTGTCAGACAATGTGCAAATAGTGAGAGACCTGGGAACACTCAGCCCTCAACAGAATGTCACCATCAAATTTTTCCCCTCAGGCTCAGGGAACCTCGTAGAAGAGGAGCCCTAAAGAGTGTTTTGTGTGTATATCATGGCTTCTGATTTTGTGTTTTTTATGCCATTTCTGAATGTGTGAACTCTTTTTTCTCTGCATCTGTATGTTTCTTTTGCCTTTTCATGGGTTTCTTTACCTTCTGTTTGCTTTGTTAAATTCTGATTTGTTTGTTTTGTTTGATCATACTATATTTTATTATTATCCCTTTGATGTTCATTTGTTTTCAAATAAGAGACATAAAGGAGGAGTGGATCCATATGGAAGGGTAGGAACCAGGAAGAGTAGAGGGAAGAGAAAACATAACCAGTATATATTATATGTGAAAAACCCTACTTCAATAAAAAAAAATACTGTGTGTGTAAGAGAGATCATCCTACTTTTTTTTTTTTTTGCATTTGAGTTGAGATGATATATTCTGAAGGAAGCAGAAGTTTCAGGAATTCGAGGACTACTTCATAATAAGCCTCTTATTGCCCCTCTACACCTCAGATGGTTCTAAGTTCACTGAATGTACTGTAGGAAACTTCCATCCAATACCACAAACAGGTTTCCTTGGCATAACCATCAGCAGCTGAAGGGTGAATTCTGAAGGGAGAGTCTGTAGACTATTTGCTTGGCTTACATGATATGCCCAAGGGGGTAGGCTGGGATCCTTAAGAGGTAGTTGGTGTTCTTTCCTTGAGTCCATTCATGAAAATAATTGACTAATAGACTAATTAATTCATAAAGAGTTAATATCTCGAGAGGAAATATGCTATAATGCCAGTTTGGTTAGGTTCCTCATGCTCTTCTGTCTCTTGCCATGAGATTTCTCATTCCATCTTGGGAAAACACTAACACGAAGATGACCACTAGATGTGATTTTCTGACTTTATATCAAATCATGAGCCCACATGATGTTAAATAAATTATTTAATGTGTGGTAAATGCAGAGAAAGTGTAGGAGGTGAAGGGAATCCTTGCAAATGGAAGTCCAGAAAATGGAAAAGTTTGAGAGTGTCCTGTGAGTCACCAACAAAACTCACTAGCAGATCCACCCAGCAGTAACACTGCAGATGAAGGTGGTCTATAACCTGGTGATCTAAATGAGTCACATAAAGCAGTTAAATATAGGTTTGAGAAGGTGGGGAAGTATTTTGGAGAGAGAGAATCCATGTTGTCTCTCCTGAAATCATAGATAATTGTTGGAAGCCTAATTTACCAAATCAGAGGTATATTTTTTACAACTTCTTTCAGGCAAATGTTAATCTTTATTTTTGCATTCCTTAATTTGTATAGGGCCAATTGCTTTTGGAGAACACTATATGATGAGCATTTATATAATAAATTTCATAGTAGTGACGCAAGGCATGAAGAAGCTCTGCTGTACTCTGTTAAAAATTTGGTGGCTATATGCAATGCTAAGCTCAATATACACTCAGCTAATTACTTTCTAAGAAGTGAACTTAACAAAAGGTGTGCTGTCAGCTTTCCCAATTAAAGTGTCCATCTGCTTTTGTTTTTGAGTTAAATTTTGCCTGTGGTAGCATACTGTACAATAAATGTCTCTTTTTGGCTTGTGCTGTTGTATGTGATTGACAGGTTTTTTTAGTTCAGCATGCCCATAATGAGCATGAACAAATAAAGAGATGCGTGATGATGAGCCTTGTTGAAAGAGGCTGAGAGAGTGAGCTAGAAAGTACCTAACTTGATAAGCAGTGCAATCCAAGCTAAAATTAGAAGGGTGGGGGTAGGGAAGGAGGAAGGGAAACAGAATGGGAGAAAAAAATGAAATAAGATGAATAAAAGAGAAGAGAATGAAGGAAAACGAGAAGAAATGTGCAAGAAGAGAGGGATGGCTGGGGGAGAGCTGGAGCAAAGAAAGCTACAGGAAGAGACAAAGCAGTAGTATAGTGGCTGAGAGAAGGAGGAAGTGCATTAGGATTGAGGAATTTACACATTGTCTTATGTTTCCCTTCAACCTCACAGGTTATAAATTGGCATCTTAACTTATAAAGAAGATGAAGCCGCTGGAATATTTAAATACTCCAATTCAACATTGTGTTTGAATTGTGCACAGATATCATATGGACTAGGTAAGTTAAAACATTACACACTTAAATGTGTTATCCTTATTAATGGTGTGTTGTCCTTGTCATGGTGTGTGTGTGTGTGTGTGTGTGTGTGTGTGTGTGCACACGCCTGTCTGCCTGTGTTTGATATTTAAATTAACATGGCCTTAGATGAATTGTATTTAGACAATTCTATATAGACATAAGGATTAGTAAAAACTGCTGTCTATTAGGGGAGCATTTTCCTGTTTCTGAACACTGAACATCAGAATAAGAGGAAAGAACTGAAACCCAGAAGCAAAGGTCATTGTTAATGGTTGATGAGACACTTGTTTGTGCTTAGTGAAGACCATGGCCAGCATGAAACTCTTGGAATTAATAAGAACAAAGCCTGGTTTACGACTAAATATTATGAAAAATAACAATTGTTTGTCCAGCAACCCTTGTTCAAAATATTATGGAGAACACATCTCTCATGAAGAATAGAACCATGCCAATAGGATACAGTGGCCTAAGTTGTCACTAACCAAGAGAATTGGCAATTTTCTGAGTGGATATTGAAGTTTCTGATACTCTGGTTATGGCACTAGCTGCTCTAACACTATACAGTTTCCTCTTGAGTACTATTATGAAAAGCTATGAAACCACAAAAACCAAATGGCCATTGCCATCTTGGCAGTGTACATGCCTTTCATATTGAATGATGGTATTTGGCCCTGGGAGGCTGGAGATAATGATTTACAACTCATGGTTGCAAAGTGTGCAGATTGTCTTCTCATGGTCCACAATCTGGGGACAAGGACAGCTCAGAGCTTTGGAGCTTGGCATGCTGAATTAGAACCTAGCACTTAGAGTTGACTAAATTGTCAACTTGTATGTCTCTGAAATGGGAAATAAGGGAAGAGTTTCTTCCCATGTAATATGCCCATGTAAATTTTGTTTATATTCAATTTTGTTTTCACAAATCTGCACAGTATGTATAAATGTCTACTATCTTAAAAAGGGAAACCTGAAGTTCATAGTAAAGAAAGTCCAAAATTTATGATAGCTTAGTTTGTATTTTTTTAACTTTATTGGAATATAACCTTACAATAAATTCAAGAGTGTATATATTTAAATATATGAACCCAGAAGATTCCATGTCTATTAAACAGCAGGATAATACTCAAACTTGTTGGATCTTGTCTCTGATGTTCTCACTTTATACATTAAACTGGACTGCTCTCACTTTTAAACCCTCATATGTTTGGGGTGACACCATCTGTTCCTCTACTCACTGAGAAGAGCTGAAGACTGCCTCAATCACAGGGCACTAGGAGAGGAAATAATAATTATGGGCATGGAACCATGGCTGGTACCTAGTAAGTGTTATCAGTCCTACATAGGTAGGAGGCTTTCAGATTGGATGTAGTAAGAATAGTGTAAGTTCTGTGTCCTAAGTATGTGGTATCTCCAGCAATAGGGACTTACCTTCAACCTTCGAGAGGCAACCAAGGGTATTATCTGTAGTCTATATTGTTTTGGGAATCACTTGGACTACCCTGACCAACCAGTCCAAAGGATATTTTTCATGCCAGGTACTGGTTAGCTTATAGTTCTTATGGAAATCATTGCCAGATCTAATGGCATATAAGTGTGTGTGTGTGTGTGTGTGTGTGTGTGTGTGTGTGTGTGTGTGTGTGTGTGTGTGTTTGAAACTTAGAGTCACTCCTGGACATTTACACCAAGGACCCTAAGTCAACATATTTTCATAGAGATAGTTACATAGTTCTGTATCTAGTTTTGAGGAATCATCACACTAATTTCAATAAAGGTCCCTGGACCAGCAGCTATGGAATCACTTGAGAAGTTGGTGTTAAACGCAACTTTCTGTATTCACCAAAATTAAATCTCTGATGAGGAGTTAGCCTTCCCCTATTTTCACAAAGTCTTTATGTGATTCTTCTGTGTGACTTTGAGGATGATTGCTACAGATGAATGAAAGGCCTTGTGTAAAGAGAACATTATGAAGCCAAAGGAGACATAACAACACACGAGAGTCCTCTGACTAACAGGAAAACTTAATTAAAAGGAAACTATTTATTTGTGTAGAGGTGTTTTAGCTGCATGTGGACTTATGTACCATGTGCATGTCTGGTTCCCACAGAGGCCAGAAGAAGGTGTCAGATACCCTGGGATTTGAGGTACAGACACCCCGGATTTGACTTCTAACCTTCTCCCCTAGTTTTCAAGGCAATGTAGCTTCCAAGATGTTAATGCCATATCATGATATTTCTGATTTATTCTCTAGCAAAAAAGAGGAAGACCTTACTCAGAAAGAAAGCTTCCCAGCAGTGTGAGGAAATTGAGTTCAACTTGGGTATAAATCTAGGCATAATTAACTTGCTCACCGAAGGTCCTACAGTAACCCCCTTACCTACCTGTGTTTTGAGAGACTGCTCTGAACTAATGTGTAGTGTGGCCAGTGTTTCGCCTAAAATAAAGTAGAATGTCAGTGCTTTCTGTCAAATAATAAAACAGTTTCTGCTTGGCCAGGCAGCTTAGAAAACTGTTTACTGGACCTTTCAAATGTCAGCAGGCACTCCCATGCTTCCCACAGTGTGAGCAAGAATGTGTTAGGAAAGCGTTCTGCCTTGGGGCTTGGAAGCTGAGCCACTCAGGGCATCAAGTTCAGCCCATGCAGCTTTCTTTCTTTTTTTTTTTCTTTATTAAGAAATTTTTTATTCATTTACATATGAACAATAGATTCCCCTCTCTTCCCTCTCCCCACTTCACCCCCAGCCTTCCCCCTCCCAATCCCCCTCCCATCCCCTCCTCTGAAAAATTAAGGCCTCCCATGGGGAGTCAGCAAAACCTGGTACATTCAGTTGAGGCAGGTCCAAGCCCCTCCCCCTGCATCAAGACTGTGCAAGGTGTTTCACCATTGGTAGTGGGCTCCAGAAAGACAGCTCATGCACCAGGGTTAGATCCTGATCCTACTGCCAGGGGATCCCTTAAGCAGACTAATTACACAACTGTCTTGTTTATTCAGAGGGCTTAGTCCAGTCCCATGGAGGCTCCACAGCTGTTGGTCTAAAGTTCATGAGTTCCCCCTAGCTTGGTTTGGTTGTCTTTGTAGGTTTTCCCATTATATTTGATGTCCCTTGCTCATAGAATTCCTCTTCCTTCTCTTTGACTGGATTCCTGAAGCTAGGCCTGGTACTTGGCTGTGGATCTCTGCATCTGCATCAGTTACTGGATAAAGGCTCTGTGATGACACTTAGGGTATTCATCAATCTGATTACTGGGGTAAGCCTCTCCACTATTGCTAGTAGTCTAAGCTGGGGTCATCCTTATGGATTACTGGGGACTTCCTTATCAGGTTTCTCCCTATCCCCGTGATGCCTTCCTCTATCAAGATATCTCTTTCATTGCTCTCCCACTCTGTCCCTGTTCCACCTCGACCATCCCATTCCCTTAGGTCCTCTTTCCCCATCTCATATCCTCTATTGCCCCCCTCACTCCCAGTTTAGTCAGGAGATCTCATCTATTTCCCTTTCCCAGGGTGATCCATATGTCCCTTTTAGGATCCTCCTTGTTAACTAACTTCTCTGGAGCTGTGGGTTGTAGTCTGGTTATCCTTTGCTTTACATCTAGTGTCCACTTATGAGTGAGTACATATCATGTTTGTCCTTCTGAGTCTAGGTTACCTCACTCAGGATGATATTTTCTAGTTCTATCCATTTGCCTGCTAATTTCATGTTGTCATTGTTTTTTACTGATGTACTCCATTGTGTAGATGTACCACATTTTCTTTATCCATTCTCTGGTTGAGGGGCATCTAGGTTGTTTCCAGGTTCTGGCTATTATGAATAATGCTGCTATGAACATATTGTTGGGCAAGTGTCCTTGTAGTATGATTGAGCATTTTTTTTTTGGGTATATGCCCAAGAGTGGTATCATTGGGCCTTGAGGTAGATTGATTCTCAATTTTCTGAAAAACTTCCATACTGATTTCCAAAGTGGCTGTACAAGTTTGACATCCTACCAACAGTGGAGGAGTGTTCCCCTTGCTCCACATCCTCTCTAATATAAGCTGTTATCAGTGTTCTGGATCTTAGCCATTTTGACACATGTAAGCTGGTATCTCAGAGTCATTTTGAGTTGCATTTCCCTGATAACTAAGGCTGTTGAGCAATTCCTTAAATGTCTTTCCGCCATTTGAGATTCTTCTGTTGATAATTTTCTGTTTAGCTCTGTATCCCATTCTTTAATTGGATTGCTTGGTATTTTCATGTCTAGTTTCTTGAGTTCTTTATATATTTTGGAGATCAGCCCTCTGTCAGATGTGGGGTTGGTGAAGATCTTTTCCCATTCTGGAGGCTGCTGTTTTGTCTTATTTACTCTATCCTTTGCCTTATAGAAGCTTCTCAGTTTCAGGAGTTCCCATTTATTAATTGTTGCTCTCAGGGTCTGTGCTACTGGTGTTATATTTAGGAAGTGGTCTCCTGTGCCAACCATGCAGCTTTTTTTATTTCAAACATATTTCTTTATGGTGAGTCCATCATCATCTCAGGCCACCTGACAGGGCTACTTAGTAGCAAGTAGGTGATTTGGAGACTGAGGAGAGACATGAAGCATGTTGGAAGTTGCTAGGGGTGAGGATGAGAGAAAAGAACTGAGGTATATTTCCTTCTGTTGTTATGGCAGGCCTTTCACTTCCATCATCTCAAATCTGCTAGCCATTTTTACAGGTAAGTGCAGTTGTCTCTATTTAAGAAACCAAGAGATCACTGTGTTCTTCATATATTTCACTCACTAAGGTCACTCATTTGCATTGAAGGCTCATATCCCAGTTCATTCCCAGATATACCTGAAGCCTCCAGCTAACTCAAGAGCCCAGAGAAGCATAGAACAGCAGGAAACAAACTCCCCTTATTGCTCATCCTTCATGGTTTACCTGTGGGGAGTATCTGTTTAGATTCCTTAGGGCCTGTGGGCCTGAGATGAACTTGAGATTGCTGGCTAGCCCATAGGTTTGAATACATGCTTTTAAAATGTGTGCTCAACAAAGTAACAGCTTTTGTGAGCTCGATTGTCTTCCAACTTCCTTATAATTGGGTGGCCATAGACAATATCTTAGGATCTGTATCTAAGACCTACTTCAGAATCAAATGTCAACAAGGATGGCCAAATGGCTGTACTCTTGATAATGCCTATCTCAGGAATATGTAGTGCTGAGTCATTTCATCATGAATAATCAGTCTTTTCTAATTCCAAACTTGGGACAAGGAAGAGGTCATTTGTACCACAGAAGACTTAAAGACTTAGTTCTTTCCTATTCCAGCCCTCATTCTAAAGCATGGCCATTGTGAACTTCAGGATTCCAGCTTTTACAGAGCCATATCTGAGAGGTGATATCATTCTTACCTTTCCATACCTTTCTAGTAAAGGAAACAGACACAATTCTATAGGACCTGTAGTTATTAGTGAGTCTAGACTCTACCTCATAGCAGGCATCAGGACTGTGACATTCAAAACACATGCCCATGAAGACTGAATAAGTATATGTAACAAGACTTCTTTGCAAATAGATCACCAAAAGATTGACAGCTCCTCAATCTTACAAACCAGAGTGGAGTTTCCATCAGTAGCCATAATGTTCTTCCTTCTGTGCAGCACAGCTGCAGGAGCGTGCACACATCATGCAGCATGAGTAAAGCAGCACACCTTTGCAGCAGCACACCTTTGCAGACCTGCCTCTTGCCGCTGTGCTCCCTGAAGTCACACTGATGAACTAGAAACGTGCTGCCATTCAAACTGATGCCATCCCGGCATGGAAAAGTTGTTCAATGTGGCTACGTCCTATGTGTTCTAGGGAATGAAAACAAACACATTGCCCAGCATAAGGGACTGACTGGCTACATCATCAATACAGTGAAATTCCAAAAAGACAATGAAAGAAGTATAGAAGCTCTCCAGAGACTCACAGAAAAGCGTATGGATGATTTGCTGTTAAAATACTGACCATGAAGCAAGAAGAACATAGGTAAAACAGTGCAGCTTCTTCACATGTTTATTACTAAAGACCTCTGTGAGGGATTGGGGCTCAAGGTCTGAAGTGAGATTTAAAGTCCACTGCTTATTTCCATGACTATTTTAGTTTTTTTTTTTTTTTTTTTTTTTTTTACCACCGTGTGACATGCAAAAGAAAATTGACAACATTTTAACTTGTCATTCACTTGATGCTTAGTGGCTGATGGTTGCAAAGTTGGAGGTACAGAAAGCAAACGACAGGGTGGAAGTGATGTTCAGTCCTTATAGAGGTAGCTTACAAGGAATAGTTACAAGGAATCATCTAAAATCTCCACTGTCTCTCCGAAAGCAAGAAAATAATTGAATGTAATCAAGACCAGGATTGGTTCAGGGAATTTGAATGTATGGAGATTTGGTATACTCAAGAGATTTTAAGGAGCCCAGTTCTCACATAATCTGGAATCTAGTTTTTTTCCAGAAATCTTTCAGACAGCATCTGTTCTCATAGGATATTAGAGATAGGAGGGAATGAGTTAGATACAGAATAACTCAGGAAAAGAAGATTAATGTAAGATTCAGCATGAATTAAGCACAGTGTAGAATCAGCTAATAGACAATGAGAGTGGATTATTTCTGAGAAAAGCACTGAAATAGAACTATGGATTTTTTTCTTTACCAAATAGTTATTGTTTTTCATTTGTGCTCTTTAGCAGAGAAAACCACTTTTTCTAGACTCTTTTTACTGGATATTACCAAAATCCACTTAGCACTTATAATGGGAACTGATTAATCAGATGGCAGACTATGAAAATGGTGCTTTCCTAAAGTGGCTTAGGCAGTATTTTGAGATCATATGTTCTTCCAGAAACTTCCCTTTTGCTCCTCAAGAATAAGAACTGATTTTCCCTGCACCTGAATAGGCCTGAAACCAAGAAATGTCCTCCAAGGTTGGGTCATGAGAGGGTCTCAGTTTTATCTGGCTTGTGTCCTTGTTCTCTGTTTCTGTCTGCATCTTGTGTCAATTCCGCCCCCCCCACCCCGTGTGTGTGTGTGTGTGTGTGTGTGTGTGTGTGTGTGTGTGTGTGTGTGTGTGTGTGTGTTTGTACATGTGCCCATGCATGTGTGGCATCTCCCTTTTTTGAGGTGTTGGTCTGTCAGTCTGTGTCTTCCTTTGATTCTGTCTCTGTTTGGATATTCAGCCTTGGAAGCTGGGCTGCCCTATTGTGATTTATTTGAGGCCACACAGGCACAGAAGAGATCATGGATAGCTGTTTCAGCAACATCCCTGGCTGACTTAACTGGCAATAGTCACAATCACCCCTGGCATAGGAGTTGGGAGCCTACAGATGATTCTACCTGACCCTTCAGCCATCCTGTGGTCACCAAATGGATCAGGGACCCACTGTCCCTTCAGTAAAGCTGAGAATGCTGATTCACAGACAAAGTCAATGTTGTTGATTTTACTGGGCCACAGAAATCTGGCTGCAGTGTGGGGGCAATGGGCGTGGGGGTAGGGAATTGTTGTAGGGTGCAGGGAAGCACTGTTGAACAGCGCGGCCCCCCCCCCCCCCCGCTCCACTTTCAGACCAACATGTCTAGGTGAAACTCCAAACTTCTGCTGTGCATGGGGGATCAGCTCTGCTGATGTATGGTGAGCTTCCCTGGGTTTAAGACAGCTAAGTGGCTTCATTCATCACATAAAGCATTCTATGCCTATACTTTATAGAAGGCTTCGATAGAAGCACTTTCAAACACTGCAGAAGAACATAAAGTCATAGATAATTTTAATTGTCTGTGTTTACTTGCATTTAAGTCAGACCCAGATTATGATTCCCTACCCTTTAAGATCTTTCGTGTGCACTTACACATCTACATGCAAGGACCCCTTTCTTCTAGATCCCCTAAAGAGTCAGAGTCCTAGCCTCTGTCTTTACCTCTCCTATGCTCTGAAGTGACTTGAATTTAGCACACAAGTTTCTGTTTCTTCTCTTCATGGTAGTCCAGGATACTAAGTTCGCTCCTGGCCAGTCTCCAGGCCAGTGTCCTTGGCTTGAAGCTTCTATCTCAACAAGCAGGCATGAGGATAACAGGTAGGGCCATATTCAACTGTCTTTAAGGAGTATCGCCTCTAGGTGGCAGTGTGGACTCGTCCTGCTCCCTGCTGGTTGCTCCAGCTTGGACCCAAGAAAGGGATGTAATGAATTTTCCTCTCTGGATCTCCAGGGTTTCCACACCTCCCCAGAGTCACGACTGGTTCTGACCTCTCAATATCAGAGCTCTGCCAGACCAAACAGGAGTTCTGGGTGTGGTAGAAGCAGGTACAGCCTGTAAAAGCAAGAGCAGAAAAAATTGTGCTTCCAGTACTATGGTGATGCAAATTGAGAGAGGATGGGCGTGGGTCGGGAAGGTCGTGCTACTCTGTGCTTCAGCAAGGAACTGAAGCCAGGGGCGGATTCAGTGCACCTGAGTTCACTTTGAGATGCCTGGCTGTGCTCTCAGGACAAATACAGAAAGCTTAGCAGTGAGTGCGTTAGGTCCAACTTTAGCAATAACTAAACATGAAGAATCCCAACAAAGGAACCAGACAGGGAGACCAGAAGAGCAGACAGGGCAATGAAAGCCATCTTCTATAGCATGATGGTGACTCCAGTGACTCAGGGGCCATATGCCAGCCTCCTCTCAGGAGTGTCCCTCTGTTCTGGGACATGGGGGCGGAAGTTGGGGAGGGGTTCAAAGTGTTTGAAAGACAGTAGCAAATCAAGGTTGAGCCAGCCTAGCCTATGTGCACAGAAACTGCTCCTGGCAGTACTTTTTGCTGGGCAGTAGCTTTCCCATGAAGATTTTGAAAACCAAACATCATCTTGACCTAGTGAGAAACACACTTAACTCAATTTTCAAGATGTGGTACTTTTCTTAAAGTTGGGCAGGACGAGGAACCGAGCAGAAAATAACTGAGTTGTAGCATGAGTAAGCTGACAAAGTTCACGAAATATGGGCTTTGGTTCGCTAGAAGAATTCTACTGACCTGGTGTGGGGGTCCAGGCAAGCAGACAACCCGTGGAAGACTCTTTTCTAGCCTTTACATACACGTGGTTGCAGTGCAGCCCTGGTTGATGCTGGCTTCTTTTTGAAATTACCACCGGTAGGGAAGGTGTCCTTCCATTCTGCTTATAGAGAGGTTACCAGAGAGCACAAAGTAACTGTTGGGCAAGAAGTGCAACCAGTTTGAGTTCCTACTTAAGTGAAAGTAAATATTCTAGGAACCTCATGCACAAATGTGTTTGCTGAAGGCAACGGGGAGGGGCCAGCTCTCCTTGGCTGAAAGGCCTGGGCGAGTAGGTGAGAACAGACAGGAACTCAGGAGAGGGTAGCTCGCATGATCACTGAAGTGGCTAGGTTGAGCATTTCGGTTCCACCCAGCAGCCCTGCTTAGGCATCTTTGAGTCATACTAAGTCCTCGTGGGAGGCTATTACCAAGTGCTAAGGCATCTTTCCTGACATCAACTCCCACGGCATGATCTGACAAATGGCCACATCACCTTCTCTTTCCCTCCCTCTCACTAAAGGCTGCTAAGAAGTATAGGGCTCTCAGTATGCTGCTTGTTATTTCCTTTGTCCATCTCCATAGCTAACCATTTATTTTCTTTTCTTAGGCCCTTTTGATTTTTCAGAGAACACCCCCTGATGCCCAGGGATACTGTGAGCTGGTGATTTCTGCACTGGCAAGGTTAGGTTCCCAATCTGTTAGCTGCAGTTGCTAGGCTGACTCCGGCTACATGTTACAAAGAAGTCTGTGAAAGCCTCAGTAAACACCATTAAGCCCTAAACGGATGATGATAGTGAAATGGACTTTAAGCTGTGGCTAATGGGATGATATATTCATTGTGCAGTATGAGAACCAGGACAAAGAACTGGACACACGCCATGGGTCATAGGCAATTGGTACTATGCAAACAATATACATGGTAAGAAATAGCCTTTGCCTTCCTCTGAGAGGCCTGATGACAGGGTAAGGCCCAGGTGGTGGGCTTTGGTGACAGCCTGTAAAGGCAGACTGGAAGCCTGTGACACAATGGTCTTGGGCTCTGCCTTTTCCCCAGTTTCCTTCATCTGTTCTTGTTTTTAGAAGACAGAATGCCCATGGAAAGCAGAGGAAAGTTCTGGGGACCAGAGCCAATGTTGGGGATGTCTAAGCCTTCCCAGTGGAGCAATGATTCTAGGAACACCAGGCTGGAGGAGATCCATGGGCCTGTTTTATCTTTCTCAGTGTGGGAAGTGTGGAGCTATTTTGAAAACTCTTTAACTGTTGATAATTTAAACAGTATTTCAGTAGGGAATAAAAGCTAAACTTTTCTTACTTTCTTTGGATGGGCTTGGTGTGCATTTTAGAATGGGCAGAGGACTCTACACAAACAACTATCCAGAATGTATAGAACTTACAGATAGGAAAGAGCTAGATCAAGCCTTGGTAATTAGAAAAAAATGAATTACTGATTGAGATGATTAGTGTGAATTGTCAATTTGCCAGAATGTAGAATTACCTGGGAAATGGGCTTCTGGGAATATCTGCTGGGGATTCTTTTGATTCCCTCTTGTGGGAAGTCCAATCTTGATTGTCAATAGAACTATTCTGTAGGCCTGGGCTCTTTCACTATTTAAGATGGAGGAAGCAAGTTGAATGCCAATGTGCATTCATTCCCCTGCTTTTTATTGTGCATGTGATGCAACCAGTTGCTCTGAGTTTCCACTCTCTTGACATCCCTGTCTTGGTGGACTATACCTAAAACTTTGAGCTAAAACCTTCCTTCTTTCAGGTGCTTTTGTTAGCAACAGGAAAGGTGAAAACGACTCCACTTACCTTTTCTCTTACAACTGGATAACTGGGTAACTGGGCTGGCTACATGCCTTCTGTAGCCCTGTTTTCCTGGTGTCCTGTTGTTTCGAAGTCTCCAGTATAAGATGGGATTGGGTATGAGAAGAATGCAGGATCTTAGGAGAAGTTTGCTTGTTTTT